CTGCCTTCAACGGTCTCACAGTTGAACCTGTGAAAAGGAGGAGAGGTAGAAGCCTGATCCCAGCTCTCCCAAACACCCTGGGGCTCTCCCACCTGCCCCACAGGAGGTGACAGGCTGTGTCATTGCCGTGGGGTCCCATTCAGCGTGTGCCCGGGGTCCCCTCCCTGCCTGCTGGGCACAGCGTCCCCATCTGGCCCAGGAAAAGGGGGGATGACACGGCCAGCTCTGTGCCAGGGGCCCATGGATTTCCCCACGTTCTCCCCAAGCCATGCCCCCCGTCCCTGTCCCCTCCTCAGTGGCCTTACGATTCCAGGTGTCTTTCAAAGTCCTTGAGAGTCCTGTTTAATTGCTCGACTGCTTCACTCCAACCATCCACGTCTGGGTGCATGGGCCAGCTGCAGAGGGGCAGAGGACAGCATTATCAGGACCTGTCTTGGCTGGAAGATACTGGGGGTGGAGGGCTACCGTGCTCCAGGAGACTTGGATCCACTTACTTCATCCTCAAGGGCTGTGAAGGCTCCAGGAGGACAGAGTCTGAAGACCCAGGGGACAGAGTGAGGGGAGAGGCCATCCCCGGTTGGGGCAGTGGGCACGTGGGGACAGGTGGGGTCTTCGCAGGGCGCTGGCCCTTGCCCCGGGGCTGCACACCTCGGCCTTTCCCCTTCTTGCCTCCACATCGGCACTTCCGTGGTGTCGCTCCCTGCAGAGGACGGAAAGCAGTGGGTGAGAGGGGAGCGTTCCCCGCCGCCTCAGGGGCACCAGCAAAGACCCCGACCCTGCCAGGGCCAGCCCTGTGCCTGCCCCGAGCCTCCTGGCCCAGGCTGGGCAGGGCCTGGCTGGGAACTGGCCTCCCCGGCCAGGCCGGGCCCCCCCAGCCTGTCCCCGGGGCTGCTCCCGGGCCCTGCCGACCCCCCTGCCGACCCCCCCCTGCCGACCAGGGCTGGGCTCTGCCCCAGCAATGGCTCCTACCGGGGTCCAGCCCAAGCAGCACACCAGCAGGGCCACCAAAAAAGGCATGAAGGGCATGCAGTCCTCTGGCTTTATGCCCGTGCACGCCATGCCTGCAACGCGCCCGAGAGGGAGAAGCAGAGCTTGAGGCTGAGCAGCCAGACCCAGGCAGCAGTCCACCTGCTCCTCCTTCCCAGCTCAAGCGCTCTCTCTCCGCCCGGCAGCTCCCAGGCAGAGTGCTGCCGGGCCTGGCTCAGCTCCTGTATCAATTCCAGCCCGTGTCTGTGATGCAGGGGTGACACGCGGCTGTCGCCCTGTCAGCAGCTGTGAGGTCTCCAGCACTCAGCCACAGCCACCTTTGTGATGCAAGTGACCTGCCCCAAGCTGAGCCGAACCGAGGGAGGGGACGGTCCCCCGAACGCTGCCCAGCGGCCAGCACAGCTGGACCAAGCTCAGCAGAACCAGGCCACAGCCAGCCCGCCCCATCCGCAGGCCTGGCCCCGTGTATGGCTGTACAAAGCCTCTGACTCTGCACAGAGACGCTGCTCCAGGACAGCTTTGGCTTAGGTCAGGGGCAGGCACTTCTAAAATGTCATCCTTTTCACAGCCTCATCCAGGAAGGGCACATCCTGCACAATGTGAACCACCACATCACGCTTTCCCCGTCACTGGAGTGTTGGAGGAGCTGAGGCTGGACCATTCTGCAGAGTGTCCCCCACATTGACCGGCAGGCCCAGTTCCTGCTCCAGTGTGGATTCAGGGATAGGGCCCTCCATGGTCTCCTTGCAGATGCAGTTCTTTAGCATTGTTCAGGCCAGGTTTGCACAGCTTGGCATCCTGCTCCACTATAGCCATGAACTACGCAAGTTGAAAATTAATCAAATAAATCATGACATAAACCAAAAAATTTCAACTTTTTCCATCTAGGCTACTTAGGAACATATACTACAAATATCTGGTAGGTGGCAGGATTCAGAGAACTAAAACTGGGAACTACTGGAAAGAGTCCAGTGTAGGGCAACTAAGATGATTGAGGGATTGGAGCATCTCCCTTATGAGGAAAGGCTGAGAGAGCTGGCACACTTTAGCCTGGAGAAGGCTGAGGGTAGACCTTATTGATGCATACAAGTATTGAAAAGGTGGTTTGAGGGAGGATGGAGCCGGACTCTTTTCAGTGGTTCCCAGTGACAGGACGAGGGGCAACGGGCACAAGCTGGAACATGGGAAGTTCCACTCAAATGAGGAAGAACGTCTTTCCGGTGAGGGTGACAGGGCCTTGGAAGAGGCTGCCCAGGGAGGCCGTGGAGTCCCCTTCTCTGGAGATTTTCAAGACCCCCCTGGATGAGTAATGTGCTCTGGTCAACCGTGCTTTAGCAGGGGAGTTGGACTAGATGATCTCTAGAAGGTGCCTTCCAACTGCAACAATTCCATGATTCCGTGAAGACTGGAGGGAATAATTCTCAACAAGAACATCTATGCTGGTAAATGAAATGAGGCTGCAGTGGGGGTTCACGCCATGGGTGCACAATTGCAGGCATGTTCAGTTGTTAAGATGCACCCCATTGTTTTTGGCTTATACCAACCAACATGGTCCCAACAACAGCCCAGCACCATCTGGGGAACACCCCGGGCCAGGGGCTGTTCCCGCTGGCGAGGTTTGCTCAGCCGCAGAGCACAGGGCCAGAGCAAGAGTCCAGCCATATGGATGTGAGCTGCTCCGTGCCACTTCGCTTCGGGGGTAGCAAATGGTCCCTGGCCTATTTTATTTATTAATAAAGATTGAAGAGATAAGCCAAACCTGGATGCAATCTGTTAAGTGATTTTAAAATTGAAGTCATCTGTAAATGGGAAGTTGGGCATTTAAAAAATATTAAGTGTAAATTATTTCCGTGCTGTAGACATGGTGAAGTAACTGGGGTGGACGTACGCTTGTGCACATCTTTTGTCAGACGACAAGGACAGCAGGGATGAAAGCTAAGAACGCAAAGCTCCAGAGCCATCCTTTCATTTTGTGGCTGGATTCATGAAAGCTGTGTACCTGGTGAAGCAGGTCACGGTGCACTGAAGTATCCCCTCCCCTGCTGTGACAATGGGGCAGCAGCTGGATGGTGGCGCAGCTCCCCACTGGGGTCCCTGCTGCCCGCCCTTCCTGTGGAAGCCAGGACACATCCACCTGGTCCCAGGTTCAGGGGCATTGCCAGCTTCACCAGCCTACCTGAAGCCCGAGTGGTCAAGAGGAGCGTTGACCGAATTTTTAAAGCAAAGGCAGATTTTCATTTTTGAAAAATATTGTCTGCTGCCTTTCGTGGTGCCTGTTGAGGGGCTTTTTTGTCGTATTTTAATACAGTATCCAGGCTGCAGAAAACATGCTGGGCCTGCTTATCTGACCTTATATCTTCTGTAATAAATGCAACCTCATCTTTCCAGCAACATTGTTTCAAAGAGGATTTTCTTTCACAAAACTCAGTTAAACATCTTTCAATTGTGAATATTTCAACCAACTGAGTTTTTTCCCTCAGTTCCCTCAGAGCAACTACAAAAAGATGTGCCATCCGTCTGCAATGTGCCAGCAGGTAGATAGAGTGTTTAGCGGGTGGGCAGACTCAGAACATCAGAGGAGGAGTGACAAAAAGCCTGAGGGATGAAGTGTTATCCTGAGCAATTTTACTGAGGCAGTGAAGAGGGAGAAAAAATATTTTACCCCTTTTTTCATGTGCTTCCACCCCTCCACAACTCCCTCTCTGCAGCACCTGCTGGATGTGTGTCCTGGTGAGGAGTGATTTCCAGGGACCACTGCTCCTCCTTGTTCTCCTGCTGTGACCTCAGCTATGAGGACACAGGGTGGTGCCACAGGGCAGGAGGGGGAAAGCTGGTTCCCCAATAAGGTTTCCATGGTCCACACAGTGAGAACCAGGAAGGTTTGGGGAAGGCAATTGGCCCTGTGGATTGCTGCATGTGAAGTAGTGAGGCCTGAGCCATTGGGGTGTCAATATAAGGGGTCTTTGTGAAAAGGTCCAGGTTGGGGTTCCAAATCACCACGCAAAAGAAGGGAGGGAGATTGGACATCTGAGATCATCTTGGGCATCATGTCTTGTGCTATTTCCTGAGCCAAATCATGGATCTTTGTCTAATCCTGATGGGATTCAGACCCCTGGAGCCCTTGTTCTGCAGCCAGGCCAGTTTGCACGAATACAGATCACAGAATCACAGAATCTTCTAGGTTGGAAGGGACCTCAAAGATCATCTTGTCCAACCATCAACCTAACTGACAAAAATAGACACCCACACAACAAACAAGGAGCATCATCACTAAACCATACCTCCCAGCACTACATCAACCCATCTTTTGAACACCTCCAGGGATGGTGCCTCAACCACCTCCCTGGGCAGCCCATTCCAATGGCTGATGACCCTTTCAGTGAAAAAAATTTTCCTAATATCCAGCCTGAACCTCCTCTGGCGTAACTCCTCTTGTTCTGTCACCTGTGACTTGGGAGAAAACGCTGACCCCCACCTCTCTACACCCTCCTTTCAGGTAGTTGTAGAGAGCAATAAAGTCTCCCCTCAGCCTCCTCTTCTCCAGGCTGAATAACCCCAGCTCCCTCAGCCTCTCCTCATAAAACTTGTGCTCCAGACCCCTCACCATCTTTGTTGCCCTTTGTTGCCCTCCTCAAAGGGCTTCCAGGGTGGATGTCAGTACCAGCCTCGGCCAAGTTCTGTTCCCAGGAACCTGCAAAACCTGCCTGAGAACACTGGTGAGCGCTTGGACCTCGGGCAGCTCAAGTGCTTCCTTGAAAGGCTTTTGGAGACCATCCATGAGCGTTGTAACACACGGGATTTTGCAAAGTGCTTACCTCCATCCTTAAGTCTGCTCCTTCTGCAGTCACTGGTGAGTTTTCACTGAGGATATGGTGATGGGAGTTCACCACTCCCAAACCCATATTCCAACTTTAATATATATAAACGTTCCTCAGTTTAATTCTCATTTTGATGTGTTATGCTTCTTTGCTGCTTCAACTTTAATAAAATATTTATTGCTTATAATAATGCTGAGTAACATAAATGAGCACTACATGACTTTTATTTCTAACTTTAAATCATGGTGAAACATTTTTAATAAGGTATATATTGCATTCCCATACACTATATACACTATGCTCACCTTTAAAATGTGTTTTAATATATTAGTATGCACATTTTATGATGGAAGTTGTATCTTGGTCAATTATTAAAGATGCTGCAGATCTGTAGTTGGCACTAATTGGTAGAATCACTTGTGTTCAATGTCTCTTAGGACTTGGTCTTCAGAGATCATGCAGCACATGAGTGAAACCATCATTAGATATTAGCCTGCTCTTAGTCCTTTTCAGCTCAATGGAAATTGCTGACATCAATGTAGTTATGTGTCAATACATTTCATTGATAAAAACGCTAATGTTCAAAATTCCTTCCTTATTTGTGACTAGGGACTCAGTTTTTGTATTGTTTGCGTAGCTGAAAAGCAGTATAGTGTCAGAGTGACTCATGAATGGAAGTTAAATATGTTACAGTGGGCGTTAATGCAACCTGAAAAGGCTGCGTAAATACAACCCCCAGAAGGGAAATTTACTATATTTTTTCCATGAAAGATCAGCTGAACTTTGTGTTATCAGTCAGGAACGTAACAAGTTCTGGCTAGTTCCTGTGTTTCAGAAACTTATCACCTTGCAATGTTGCTAATTTATCTCCAAGATCCCTGGGAGAATTTCATTTAAATTTAGACTTAATCTGGATTCTATTATAATGTCTTTGAATAGAACAAAACCAGCACTTTTATTTCAACGTGGAGCAGGAGGAGGCAGCTGGATCTCTCCATTTTGCTGGTGCACACTGTTGGTCAGAGGAGGACTCTGTTCATCTGCCTTTGATCTGCTAGGGCAGCCCAGGTGTTCCTCTGGAGGGAAAGTCCCAGAGTCTTTCAATTTCCGCTCGATAAATTCAAAGCACGGCTCACAATCCAGGATCCACCTTTGCAGCCCATAGCGCCTCTGGATTTTCATTTTTGAAATGAGAGCCTCTAGGTCCCTTTTCGCAGCCTCATCCAGGAAGGGCGGATCCAACACGATCGGAACCACCACACCACGGTTTTCTGGTTGGTGGGGTCTAGGAGGAGCTGAGGCTGGAACATCTTGTAGAGTTTTTACAGTCACCGTCAGGTCCAGTTCTTGCTCCAGTGTGGATTCATGGGTGAGGCCCATGGTGGAAGTTAGAGAGCTGTCTCTGCCTTCAACGGTCTCACAGTTGGACCTGTGAAAAGGAGGAGAGGTAGAAGCCTGATCCCAGCTCTCCCAAACACCCTGGGGCTCTCCCACCTGCCCCACAGGAGGTGACAGGCTGTGTCATTGCCGTGGGGTCCCATTCAGCGTGTGCCCGGGGTCCCCTCCCTGCCTGCTGGGCACAGCGTCCCCATCTGGCCCAGGAAAAGGGGGGGTGACACGGCCAGCTCTGTGCCAGGGGCCCATGGATTTCCCCACGTTCTCCCCAAGCCATGCCCCCCGTCCCTGTCCCCTCCTCAGTGGCCTTACGATTCCAGGTGTCTTTCAAAGTCCTTGAGAGTCCTGTTTAATTGCTCGACTGCTTCACTCCAACCATCCACGTCTGGGTGCATGGGCCAGCTGCAGAGGGGCAGAGGACAGCATTATCAGGACCTGTCTTGGCTGGAAGATACTGGGGGTGGAGGGCTACCGTGCTCCAGGAGACTTGGATCCACTTACTTCATCCTCAAGGGCTGTGAAGGCTCCAGGAGGACAGAGTCTGAAGACCCAGGGGACAGAGTGAGGGGAGAGGCCATCCCCGGTTGGGGCAGTGGGCACGTGGGGACAGGTGGGGTCTTCGCAGGGCGCTGGCCCTTGCCCCGGGGCTGCACACCTCGGCCTTTCCCCTTCTTGCCTCCACATCGGCACTTCCGTGGTGTCGCTCCCTGCAGAGGACGGAAAGCAGTGGGTGAGAGGGGAGCGTTCCCCGCCGCCTCAGGGGCACCAGCAAAGACCCCGACCCCGCCAGGGCCAGCCCTGTGCCTGCCCCGAGCCTCCTGGCCCAGGCTGGGCAGGGCCCGGCTGGGAACTGGCCTCCCCGGCCAGGCCGGGCCCCCCCAGCCTGTCCCCGGGGCTGCTCCCAGGCCCTGCCGAACCCCCCTGCCGACCCCCCCCTGCCGACCAGGGCTGGGCTCTGCCCCAGCAATGGCTCCTACCGGGGTCCAGCCCATGATCTCCAGGAAGCAGAACATCAGCAGGGCCACCAGTGCCCCCACGAAAGTGTGGGAAACGATTAAGGCCTCCGGGCTTATTCCTCCGAGCACGGCGTGCCTGGAACTTGCCATGGAGAGACAAGGAGACTCTGAGGAGTGGCCAGCCCCAGGCATGATTTCACCTGCTCCTCCTTCCCTGTTCTCCCTGTATTTTCACCCAGAGGCTCAGAGGCAGACTGCTGCTGGGCCTGGCTCAGCTCCTGTATAAATACCAGCCTGTGTCTGTGATGCAGGGGTGACACGTGGCTGTCGCCCTGTCAGCAGCTGTGAGGTCATAGAATCATAGAATCATAGAATCGTTCAGGTTGGAAGAGACCCTTGGGATCATCGAGTCCAACCATCTACCCTACTCTACAAAGTCCTCCCCTACACCATATCCCTCAGTACCGCATCTAAACGTCCCTTAAACACATCCAGGGATGGTGACTCAACCACCTCCCTGGGCAGCCTACTCCAATGCCCGACCACTCTTTCAGTGAAAAATTCCTTCCTAATGTTCAGTCTAAACCTACCCTGTTGGAGCTTGAAGCCGTTCCCTCTTGTTCTGTTGTTAATTACCTGCGAGAAGAGACCAGCACCAACCTCTCCACAGTGTCCTTTCAAGTAGTTGTAATAAATCCCTTTGTCTGCTTTTAGTAAAACAGCTCACATACCCAACCCCCTCTTTTTATTTCTGTATTCTCTATGACTGCCTGCTTACAAACATCCTCTGGAGGGAGGGGGGAACAAAAGAAACAAGTAGATTACTGCACCGTGGTCGCTTTTGGATTGTGCTTTGTCCAACCAGACAACATTTCCACACATTTATTTTCCTGCGTGTGCTGCGATACTCTGTGTATTTGTTCAGGAGGTGGTATGTCATCCACAGAAACACCCTTCCCAGGGGAAGGTTTCCACTTTTCAGAGTAAAAGGGATGCCTGGATTATCCATGTGCATCTGTGGAAGCTGTTGCATTTTTTCTCCCTTCCTGTTGCCTACAGCTTTGTGCAGTATCTCTTGAATTCCTCTGTGGATGGAGGAGTGAAGAACCCTAACCTGGCAGTGTAGAAGAGGCTGGGAAACTGATGCAACTTGCAGCTTGCCAGGCATTATACACAAGAAAATGTAAAAAGCAAAAAAACACATAATGGGCAAATAATTAAATTTCTTCTTTCTGTATAGTTTACTGCAAATAATAAAATTGCTTATAAATGAGATGTCACACCCAGGGAAGGTAAAATGCTAGTTTGTCCTTCCTCATGCCTTACATTGAGCTTTAAATGAATACAGGTGTAATCGATACAATTCACAATCCAAAAGGCTTTTTTTCCCCTTTTGGGGGAAATAAACCCATTAAAGGTAGTCAAGGCTCTTTGTGGTATAACAGAGCACACTGTATATTGTGGTGTGAATGTTGTCTTCTTTGGTGCATCAGTTTTGCAATCAGATTTTTTGGGAATTATAGAAAAAAATAATTTAGAATCAAGTGCTGGAGATACCTAGCATGACTCCTGCTGAGGGCAGTGCTAGCTTCAGAGTTAGGTGAGTTTACTCTGAGGGTTTATCCAGACAAGTTTTGAAAAATCTCTAATAATGGAGACTCCACAACACCTCCCTATTATCCAGGTTGTAAATTCTGGATATAATTTTAAAAAATCCTGAGGTGAACCCAGAGAAATATTTGGAAATTATGCAATTAATTAACTCTCATGGACTAAGTGTGTATTTCTGCTGTAGTGTGGGGCTTTTTACTTTAAATTTTTGCTATTGTGCCTTTACAGAAATGTGTTGTATTGCGCTCTGTTAACAGCACAAAGGTAAACACATGAAAAACACGAAGAGGTGTGATAAATGGCTGAGATAAGCTGGGCGATCAGGAGGCACCAGAGAACTTCATCCCCACCCAGCAGATGGGTGATGTTTGGCAGGAGAGAGGTCTATTTCTGCTTCCTTTCCTCCCTGCTGACTGAGGTTAGATTTCTCAGACGACTCTGTATTGCTACAATGACTGGCACAACCCCTGGGCTGTGAACACAGTTACAAAAAAGAGTTTATTTCTTTGTACATTAAAAATCAGTAGGAAAGGGAAAAACTCTGCTGCTATAGCTTATTTTAATACTGGGGATGATATATTGATGAAAAATGTGCAAGTGGCGTTATGACAGCAGTATGAAAGGAAATGCTGGATGAGAATGCAGGTATATAATTATTCATTGAAGCAAGTAGAGATCTGCACTTAATTATTTCATGGACAATAGGACAGTTTCAGGCAGAAAGATTGAGGGAGGGTGGCTGTGAGACCTTCCGACCATACAGGCTGATGGTGCATTTACCTGATGGGGAGTGAATAGAGGGTCAGCCAAACAGAGACATTTTCCTGGAAAAAAAGTTTCCCTGTTCCTTGAAGAGGGACAATTCCCTCATCACTATGGAAGAGGCAGGCACAGCGCTGTTTGGAGAGCTTGGGAAAAGCAGTAAACATATATATTTACATATATATTTATATGTATATGTATGCTCCCTAACTAGACTTTGCAGCCTCCCTTTCACAGGAGTCCATCAAGGGTTACTTTGGAAATAATCTTGATATCTTCCATGATAACAAAGAATTCCATTTATTTCCAGATCCCAATCCACTGCAAACACTTCTCACAGTCTCTGGTACTCAGAACCCTTTCAGTACTTGAAGTACATACCAGCCCCTGTAAGCTATCCTTTGTATATCACATGCAACTGTTTACATTTGTGGAAACTCAGTTTCTGCCTCTTCTTTCTTCCTATCTTGGTCTCACAGCCACTAAATTGCTGTGCAGTTGTTGATAGCGCTCATTAACATCAACGGTTTTATTGTGAGCCCATGGTTAGAGAAGCACTGATAAATGCTATGCTGATCCCTGTCTGCTTTCTGTGCTCCAGCGTGGGCAAGAAGCACCAGCTGGGGCTCAGCCCACCTGCCCAAGCTGGCCAGGACATCTGGGGCTTGGTGTGGTTACTCCTAGCGTGGGGTGCAGCTTCAGTGGGCAGCTCTTTTAATAATGAAATCCAGAAGCGAACAAGTAATGTTTACCAAACCCGTTTCAAAATGGCTGATTAATCAAATAAATGAGTGTTTACTGAGGCTGTTGCTAGGTGCTTACTGTTATTGAGATAATTGTATGACTCAGCTAAGCCAGACAAAGAGCTCCACTGTTGCTCTAGAATCCCGCCTGGCAAAGTTTGGATCATGGCACCAGAGTAAGGGGAGAAACTTTGCTCTTTCTCCTGAGGTTTTTCACAAGGCCAATCACTTAGTTCCTTTATCGTCACATCATCCACTTCTACAGCCAGCTTCAAACGCCTTCCTCCCATAAACCCAACAAGCACCCTTCTGCAGAACCCCTTCATCCGCAGCACAGCGGCGATGGGTTCTCAGCACTGACACCAAGGTCTGGGGCCAGACTTTCCTTTTGTGTCTTTTCTATGTTATTATGTCATTATATTCGTGCCTTTTTCTGTTAAGCATAAACCGTAAGGTCCTAGCCATTCAAAGCACTTCTTTAGTAAATAATTGGGGTAAGTTTTGTGGGGAGAAAGAATATTTTCTAAGACCAAGTGATAGACGTGGAAACAGCTGACAAGTTTTCAGGCACACAACCTCTTCTTCAGGTGAAACTTTTTGCTTGAAAGCCTCTCTTCTTTTCCAGCCAGATGTGTGGGTTTTTTTCCATTAAAAGCTATTGCTTCTCCCTGAAGTTCTCGCTGCACATATTCTTAAGTCTCACAGCTACAAAGGCAAGGCTACTAGTACACAACAAACAGGACTTGATTAGGCTGGCTATTAATGGAGATTTTATGATAGAAATTATATTATACAACTCATGCCTCATATTTTTCATTAAAAAAAAATTGGAAGCATTTTAAAAAGACAGCTGCTAATGAGTGCAATTATAGAAAACTCTCCATGCTTCTCAGAGGAAAGCATGAAGTACATGAAGTCTGATGTACAGAAAGAGATTTATATCTGCAGATTGAGGGGAACACTAGGAACATATAACTGCTCTCCAATTAAACTCCCTCTCACTTATATATTGGTTTTATTATTTTAATGTAATAGGTTTGGGTTTTTTTTCATTCCAAAGTAGCATGTCTATGTTCTGCTAATGGTAGTTTGCATAGCTAAGTGATAAAGGATATTTAAAATCACAAGGGCGTGTTTAGTTGAAATGTTTCGAGTCCATCAGTCTCAAGTTGTACCAGTCCAAATTTGCAGTAACCCTCTCAGCAGCAGTGTTATAATCAGGTTTATACCGGTATATCTGAGACTAGAGTTCAGCCCTGGCTAGTCATATTCTGTAGCAGGTGTGGTTTTGTTTTTTTCATATCCAATAAAATAAATGATATATTGTAATGAAGCGGCATTTCACTTGCTCAGGATTGTATTTTGATTAGAACATCTTCTGGTCTATGTCAGAGGGATCTCTGCTTTTTAGCAACAAGCACTTTCACTGCCTGGAAATACTCAACGTTTACTCAGAACACTCCACCAACACGTTCTTTACTGCAACATCCAGTCATAACTGATAAAGTCTACCTTTTTAACAGATTCTGGAGGCTTATGGATCAAGGTCTGAACTAGGCTTTGAACCAGGAAGCGCCTTTGTTTGAACTGCCGAACACTTGCATTTGATTTCATGAATTAATGTTTTACCTGTAACTAGAAGTGTACTCACTGAAGGGAGAGAGCGATCCTGCTGCTGATTTAACACCTGTAACACTCCCAGATATGTTATTGAAACAAAATGTAATGCCTAAGGTGCCTTTTTGCTGTTACTGGTCATGAGCATAAATCCCATTCAGCGTGTATGGGAATCCCGAGCCAGCCTCCCAGTTATGATGCTTTATTAATGGGTCTTTGTGGATATCCACAGTGAGAAAACTGGGAGAAATATCAGCAGAATGAGCCACCATAGAGTGGTGGGTTCAGGAGTGATTTGTGAGTCTTAAAGTAAGTGAAGGGTAGAGCTGAAATCCCCTCCCAGATTCTGCAGGTGGCCCAGGGAGGAATAAAAGATAGTGTGACCCCAACCCTCTCTGCCAGCCCTCTCCAACCTCTAGGACATAACCTCTAATTGCTATACGCATACAGTCAAGAGCAGAGCCAGTATATTTCCTCGTATGGTGACTTTGTGAGGTTGGGGTGGCACCACT